CTAGAAGAAGCAATCGGGGCAAATCTTTAAGCGTCCTGGGTAAAACGATCGGCTACATCCGCGTCCTGAGTAAGACGATAAACTACATCCGCGTCATGGATAAGACGATAAATTACATCCAACAGCAAAGGCTCTGATCAGGAAGTTTTGAGGAGCGTGGAACCACCTCTTAATTGCTGGTGTTTCCAGGTTCACCATGACCCGGGGTGGTAGCACCAGTTTGGGCTCCCATCTATGGACAAATAGTTAATCCCCAAACTAGGATCAAAACACTATGAAAGTGTAAAAATAGGTTTTAATACCAGCAATACATTTTTTAAAAGATTATTACCAGCACTTAATTTTTGAAGCAAAATTATTACCAGCAATAGATTATTTACTAGCAGTACATTTTATTACCAGCAATAAAAATCTTGTAAGCATTAAATAACCCATTCAGGTTGATATGCCGTAAAACAAACCAAACCAAATCAAAGCCAATTTTTAATGAGATTTGAAATTGGGAAATCTTTTCCTGTTTCCATTTACTATGGTCGTATTTTCTTTTGATCAATTTCATCTTCTTTTTTAATGTCTCTTTTTATAGCATGGATTAAATTTTATACCGTTAATATTTTTCTGGTCCGTCCTGATGGTGTGTTGCCTTGACGTGGTAGGGCGGCTTGCGTGCTTCAACAACACCCAGAGCTATGGGACCAGGTCTTCAGCCCTTAGCAGGCCCAACCAAGCTCAACAGGTCTGAGGTAGCAGCCAGACGAAAGACAAAACTGTGGTCCTCCAGATTGGGGTCTGTGCAGTAGGCTAACAACCTAATCACTTAAAAACTACCTTATTACAGAAACCTCAACGATATCTTCAAACAACGACATGGCCGAGGAAGAGTCCTCCAAAGTGGAGCGTGTGACGCGTGCTGATGAAAATCGCTCGGGAAAGCAGCCGGCACGACATAGGCCTAGCTGAAGAGGATCGCTCGAAACCGCGTCCGTTGGAGAGGATGAACCCTTTTCTTTTATGTGCCCTGATCCTTCAGAACGTTGACGACCATGGCTTTCCCCAATTTCCTGTCCTTTGTTACTCTTAGTAATTTTTTTGCTTTTGTTATCTCTCCTAATCCCTGTTCTGCGATTCATTTACCCAAAATCCTTAGGGAGATTATGCACTGTTTTCCTCTGTCCTTCTTGCCTTCAATATGTCCTGTGAGTGTCAAATTTTCCAAGCCATCTTTTTTTTTCATAATGTGTACTAGGAATTTCAAATTTCTGATATTAAGCATAAGTATCCTTTTTCTATTTATCTTCTCTAAAACTTCATCTTTTCTCACATGTTCAGTTCATGGTATTCTCAGCATCTTTCTGTAGAACTACATTTCTGTTGCCTCAAGTCTTTTCTTCATCTGTGAGTAGATTGTCCAGCATTCACGGACATATAGGAGGAGCGATATTGCATAACAGTCCAGTAATCTTTTCTTCATTTCTAACTTTGTTTAGCTTTTGGAAGGCATATTTCGCTATCCTTGTACGCAGTCGAATTTCGCTGTCGCACTTTCCGTCCTCTGTTAAAACACTTCCCAGATATTTAAATTGTTGTGCTTGCTTGATTTTGGTATCCCCAATTTGTAGTTTGCATGTTGGGTTGTCCCTTTTGCTGACAAGCATACATTATTATTGCATCATTTATTAGTCATTTCTTTTCGCTTTCTGTAGTTTTTTTTCTGTGCTTGCTATCAAACTGTGTCATTTGCATACCTTATGTTCTTAAGAGTGTGGCCGCTAACAATGAATCCTGTAAGTCTTCTAAAACCTGATACTTAGACTTTTAATTCTCTTAGAATATCTCATACTACTAATAACTCACTGTATAGATTGAATAAGTCCGATGAGAAGACTTGTCAAACGCTCCATACGGTTGAGAATCATTGGGTTAGAAAATGAATTAAGTGGCTCCACAGAAACAGAAAGGAGTGTAAGATAAATCACCTCCCTAGATTTATTCAATTACAGTGGGGCTATCATAAGGGAGCATAAGACCCTAACAGGATTTATAAACAATGAACGTAATCTTAACACTATAAGATACGCAGATGACACTGTCCTGAAGGCTGAGATGGAAACAAAACTATTAGACTTCCTACATAGTGTAGTAAACGAAAGCGATAAAAAAGGACTAATCATCAACTGCAAAAAGACAAATGGTATAGTCATGAGCAAGAGAAAAAGCCCAATATGCGAGTTACAAACTGGAGATGTTAATGTCAATGATGTCAAGCGAGTACAGAAGTTTAAATATCTGAGAAGTGTTTTAAGAGCGGATGGAAAATGCAAGTTGTTGAGAAACAGGAAATTTTCGTTCGAAAAAATAGAAATGAGTGTTGAATTGATTTATGATATCAATCCTCTTATATGGTAGTGGATTCTGGACAATCTCCCCACAGATAAATTGAAAACTAGAGGAAAAAGAAATGTGTTTCTACAGAAGGATACTGAGAATTCCATTGACGGAGCGAGTAAGCAACGAGAAAGTCTTAAAGAAAATGTCAAAAAGAACACCTATATTCAGAATCAGGAAGAGGCAGTTTAAATTCTTTGAAGGGTGACTTAGAAAGTATAACCTCCACAGGACATACTGACGGCAAGAGAGATAGGGGTGTGCCGCGGCTCACTAGTGGGCCGCGCGATCCTCTTAAGAGTGTCGCGAAAATCTGATTGGATTCAAAATCCCATCATAAATCTTCCTTTTAATATTGGACTTCAGTTATGGGAAGAAGAATTGGCCACCATTTCTTGTGACCAAGGGCTCAAAATAAAACGTTCAATGGTACCCATTGATACATTTTGGATTTCCATACAAAAGGAATATCTCACATTAGCTAAAATGGCTTTATCAGTTTTATTGCAATTTTCAACTGCTTATTTACGAGAATTAGCCTTCTCAGCTCTAAATAACATTAAAAAAAAATAAGAAGCGAGAAAAACTATGTTCAACAGAATAAGAAATGAAGGTCCGCTTATCGCACATTCGACCAAACATTGAAGAAATCGCGAAAAAACACCAGAGATGTCACAATAGATAAGTTGCACAAGTCGAAACATTTAAATAAAGTAAGTTCATATTTCTGTGTGTATTTTTTTTAAAAAAATATATGGTTGTATTTCCTAACATTTAAATATATACCTTTTAAAAATGTTGCTGAGTATGTCGTGATATTTTCATTTGCTCCAAGGTGTGCCGTTGCTTAAAACGGTTGAGAAATACTGTTCTAAGCGCATTCAAGTTCTGGGTAAAAAGGTTTTCACATGTGAGTCTTTAAATATATTCAATCTAATTATTAGGGTTCTACTTTACTCGTTAAAAAAGTCCGTCTTTTTACTTCAGGGCTTCATGAACAACTTTGAACAGTCCATCATTATAACGCCAAAGACAGTGTTAAGTCGTGTCGTCAGTATAAGGGAGATAACTCTATACAGCAAATTTCTACAAACAAAACATAATTAAAACGACAAAGCGGATTATATATATATATATATATATATATATATATATATATATATATATATATATATATATATATGTTATCCGGCAAGATAATCTGGTAGTTTTATTGGCGTTTGTTTGAATCTGAAACAGAATGAATATTAATAAGATAAAGTTTGATAAAAAAAAACACTATATTATTCACATTACTCGAATTAAAGAGTTTAATTTTTTTCTTTCTAACTTTTGTATGCTTAATACATATATTAGTCTTAAAATATTAAGTTTCATTAAAAGTTGTTATTTTAAATTGAAATTCTGTATTGAAATGAGGACATTAAATATCACAATCAAATACTTCAAAAAGCCAAAAACAAAAATGAAAAAAAAGATATATATATGATCATTTATTAAATTAAATATGAAATAATTAAAGCAGTTATAATTTACAGTTTAAAACATTTCATCGGGTTACAAATTGAAAGCATAAAAAAAATATTAGTATTTAAACAGATAGGCAGGTTGCTTATGATACAGCATGGCCCAAAACTACATCTGCGCATTTTTAAAATTTAAAATGTATTTATTTTTAAATGTGAAACAAAAAGAAATATTTTCTCAATCTATAACATTAAAGAATTAAAAAAAAAAAGCTTAACTTAATCAGTCAAATTCTGTATTTGCTTCCCAGCATGCTGTGCAGATTTTACAAGCTGATCTCGAGTTCCAAAAATTTCTGACAAAAATCGTTGTTCTATACATTTTCGGATTATTGCATTCTTAATTAAAATTGCTAATAATAATTGTAACAATCACCGTTTCCTTATAAGGAAACATTCGGCATTCATTGACTGAGTACTCCAGTACCTGGTTAAAATTTATAAAAACTTTCGCTAAAATAAATTCTTCAGAAAAATAAAATTCTCAAGTCCAGTAACTGTTATCGCTCTTTCCAGTACCGATGGCGGTTTCCTTCCTAACCTTTCATTGGAAATGGTGTAGAATGTTAGCTTCTTATGCAACGGTGAATTAAAACTAAAAAATATGAGGGGATTAATCCAAGGTATATCCTATTTGATGGATATAATACAACCATACCCGCGACTGACATTTAATATTATCGAATCAGAAGTCTGTTGTTAGAAAAGTTGGTCCATAATGTCGATATAAACAATTTTTCTCACTAGAATCTATTTTGCACTTTTATGAATCTACCACACGTCGGTGCATTAAATGTGGCTACCACGTGTGGTCTGGTGATTCTGCAATGTATCTAGAGATTTTTGACAAAATCCAAAGAAGAAGCTGTCATGTTATTAATGCTGATCTGGCATCTCCGTTTCAATCCTTTTCCCACCGCCCTAACGTGATCTTCCTTGTGACTTTTCTAAAAAAAAAACATTGTCATGGTAATTGTTCTCATGAGCTTTCCTCTTTGGTAAATCAACTTCACAAATTTGAATACAGTACTTGATTGGCAGCTAGGTCTCATCATTTTATGGTTGAAATTGCAGCTAACGGACGTATAGAGCTGAAACACCGGTTCTCGTACGATCACCGAAGTTAAGCAATGTCGGGTCTTGTTAGTATATAGATGGGTGACCGCGTGAGAAAAAACAGGCGTTGTGAGCTTAGTAACGAATGTAACGGATAATGGCCGAGTTCCAATTTCATTTAGGTTGTACTTACGTACAAATACCCTTGGAAAAGGCATGAATCCACTCATTCTCCTCCAGCTATGGGTTAATTTGTAAGATTTGTATAACTAAATCATTATTATCTAAAAAAACATACTTGCTGGCTTTAAATAACCCCCAAATGGTTGATAAGCCGTAGAAAACGAATCAATCAATCAATATTGAAATTGTTAGGTGATGCTATTCTAATTGTTTCTTATCTCACACCTCTCGCGCGTAGAACTCTCTTCCGGTTTAACAGTTTTCTATCAACTCTGAACTTCAAAATTTAAAAAAATGTCTATCATCTTCTGTTCTTTTCATTGTCCTTTTCTCAGTTTCCTTTGCTCTGAGTAACCAATTGCGTCTTAGGGGCTTTATTTCCTTGTCGTGAAATAATTCAAATAAAAAGTCTTATAGATTTAATGGGGGTGCAGAAGGCGTAACAGATATTAGTGCCGAACATTTACTCGCCAAACCGGGTTCAAATCCACGCTTAATATATCGCTTTCCGTTTTGTACAAATGACCATGACAAAGATATGAAATCATCGCTCCTTTCGTTAGATATAGACTAAATAGTAGGGTAGGCTGGACTTTTTAGCCCGTATCTGTGTGGAGGGGTTGCCAGTTGGGGAGAAAGGCTATTCAGACATCAAAACCGTGAACAAGACGACGGGAAACCATTATCTTTTCTGAGAAACGGATTAAACCCATAAATAAATATTTATTGCGTAAAACAATAGTTTTTTTTTTTTAAAACAAAATCATCAACAGGCGACAAGTTTTTTGTTTTAAATACGTTTTCTTTGATAGAACACATTAAGAAAAATGTACACCAGCGTTTGGGCCACTCTGAATATAATGGTTAACGAATAAAGAATAGTATTAGTTGATAGATTATCACATTTAGAGATTTTTCAATTGAAGTAGGAAAGAGAAAGATAGATGTTTAGTGATATGGATATAGATACAGACAGAGATACGAACATAGATATATAGACATAAGGGGTATAGACATAGATATAGACAGAGATACGGACATATATATATATATATAGACATAGAGGTAAAGACATAGATATAGACAGAGATACAAACATATATATATATATATATATATATATATACACACACACATATATATATATGTATATATGTATATACACACACACATATATATATATATATACACACACACACATATGTGTGTGTGTGTATATAGACATAGAGGTATAGACATAGATGCAGATATAGACGCAGAGATACGAACATATATATATATATATATATATATATATATATATATATATATATATATGAGAGAGAGAGAGAGAGAGAGAGAGAGAGAGAGAGGTATAGACATATATATAGATATAGATGCATATAAACAGAAATAAAGAAAGGCGTAAGAAGATGGATATATCAATATGTTTCCATTTTCTTTTCTCTTTTTTCTATACAATGAGAAATTCTTTACCAATTCAAAAGAAATAAAATAATATTGCTGAAGTAAAAAACACGACAAAACCAACAACACGAAAAAAAAAAATTCCCCAATTTAATTCCTGTATGACGCCATAGAAACCGAACCAGTTTATAAATCGACCTAAGTTCTAGGGACTTGATTCAAACTAAGTTTGTTGTTCGACGAATAATTTAACAAATTTATGCTGTTATATATATATATATATATATATATATATATATATATATATATATATATATATATATATATATATACACACACATATACAGACATATATATTTATGTATATATATATATATATATATATTTATACATACACACACACATATGTATATATATATATATTTGGTTGGATAGATGTGAGTTTGTGACCCTGGGTTTCACGCTTTAGCGATCGTCAGACAAAGCGTGAAACCTAGGGTCACAAACTCACATCTATCCAACCAAATATGTTAGCTCTATCTCTGATATTGAGCGCTTTCTAATAAGTGCCGCGCATATAATATATAAATAATTACACATATATATATTTATTTATTTTATATACACTTTTCACACACACACACACACACACACACACACACACACACACACACACATATATATATATATATATATATATATATATATATATAAACGAATGGGTAAATATAGGTAGGTATACTATTTAGTATTTAGTATAGATTTCTTATTTCCAATCTTGTTTTCATTCTTAATCTGAGCTTGAATTCAAATTCAGAATTAAACTACAATTCATTTAAATATTTTAATTCCAATAATATTCCACCCCGACAATAACATATCTTGCGTGAACCAGAAAATTAAAAAAAAACAACAAATAAAAAAAACAAAAAAAAACATGTTTCAACCTAAAGCATAAATAAAAATAAATGTAATAATTCCAGCACTTCAAAATTGCTTTGGCATGAAACTCGGGGTTGGGCATATATATATATATATATATATATATATATATATATATATATATATATATAATAAACAAATGTTTGGAGGTACAAAATTTATAAATAGTTTTAAAAACAAGGAATGCATTGATTTTAATTTTAAAAGTCTCTAGGGCCCTTTCAGCCAACATCTCATCGGGAGACAATCGTTGGATTAGCGAAAAGAATATAAACGATATTGAAGAGCAAAAAAGATGGGGAAACGCACTAAAATAACAAACAAGTATATATACTTGTAACGAGGGAAGGAAAAGAATCGTGTAAATAAATTAGCGACGGACAGTTAAAATAAAATATCCCCAACAGATTCAGAGACTTTATAAATTCTTTCTGCCGGCAAAGAGGGTTTTAATCCTATACAGACCGATTCCAAAATCTTCAAATGATTATTGGAATCGGCTGTATGAATAATTCTAAACCACTCTTTTTTAAACAACTTGGCGCAAGCTATATTCTCAACTAAATGTTGAGCAATAGCCGATTCCATATTCATGGGTGGAAGATAGCATATTTTCTCTATCTTACCAAGTCGTATTTTGGAAGGTACGTGCTGATTGATTCTAGTTTCCAAATGCAAGGTTGTACGCCCCACATAACCAGCAGCACACTGGCAATTAAATTCATATACTAAATTACTCAATTTGATGTAGGGCAATACATCCTTGCGAAAAAGACGGAAACGCAGACCTAGTTCGAAAAATGCTACGTAAAGCAACTGATGGAAACAACCGGAAACCGACTTGCTAACCTGCTTAATTAAGCCCTGACCCTATCCCCAATCCAGGGAATCTTCAAATAAACCGGACATTTAGAAGGCCCCTGAATTTTAACATCCAGGGCCTTCTAAATATATATATATATATATATATATATATATATATATATATATATATATGTGAAAAATATAGCTTTAAGGTATGCTATATTTATGGGATGAAGTGCTCAATATCAGATATAGAGCGTATATAAATATAAAAGTGAACATTGAAGTCAACACTCAGATGACAGGCTGTTTCATGCTAGGTGCAATCGTCTGATCGGACGATTTCGCCTAGCATGAATATATATATATATATATATATATATATATATATATATATATAAAAACAAAAACATGTAAGAATCGTGTTTCAACATATGACGATGCGTCTCCTCAGGTGATTGTAGATACCAGGTAATTTACAATCGCCTGCGGAGATGCATCATTATGTGTTGAAACACAACTGCAATTGTGCAGCGATTCTTACATGTTTTTGTCGTAACATCCTAAAATAAGCAATATGTTCTATGTATTGAACCCTCTTTTCAATTAAATGATACGAACGTTGGATGTGTACTGTATTCGTTGTCATCGTACCTTATATATATATATATATATATATATATATATATATATATATATATATATATTTGACCAACACAAGGAATGTTAAAAGATTCATGTTAAAAAGATAAAAAATTAAAAGAAAAACAAATGAAAACTACAGACAAAAGTTCATTTTCTCCATCAAGACATTCATTTCTGTAGTTCACTGCTACCAGCAAGCAGAAATATTTCTTCTCCTGATGATGGCCATTTTGGCCGAAACTAGTCGAGGAATCTAAATATAAATAATAATAGTAATAATAATAATAATAAAAACGGAATGATATTAATCTAAACCCAGTGTGTCTGAAGATTTTAATTTTTTAATATTTTTTATTATTCAATATATATATATATATATATATATATATATATATATATAAGGAAATAATTCATTTTTTTTATCAATCCTGCAGATTTTTATCACTTTAAACGTTATTTTTAGTGGATATCCGTATTTGAACAGAGGATCATTTTTTAATGAGTATATTTTTTTTCGTCTACCGGCCTGAGTAATCGAAAAAACTTATTAAATAAGATACGACGTGCTTTTAACCAACTAGAGCACGAACGGCGTCGCTGATCAAATAATATTGCCTTTAAGTATAATCCTTTCCGTCCCAGATTCTTGTAAGTTCTGCTCAGTTTCGTATCCGAAATGTAAACAATGCAATTTCTAAAGAAGTAGTGGATTAAAATAAAGGTGACAAGCTGCCTTAATTAATCTAACAGATTTCTATCGCTTCAAATATTTGGGTAGAGGCTGCGTTAATTTTAAACTTTATATTTATTTACGACGCCCTTCGTGGTTAAAAGCACGTCGAATCTAATAAGAGAGACGCAAGTTCAAATCCTGCCGGAGGGCGCAATATTTTTCTTTAATAAGCATTTTCGAATATTGAAGCATTTCGACGAAAATAAATATGTTGTTTAAAATAAACAGAGCGGCTACTCAAATATGGACATCCACTAAAAATAACTTTTAAATTGATATATATATATATATATATATATATATATATATATATATATATATATATATATATATATATATATATATATATAATTCAAAGAGGATGTAATCCAGACAGCTCAATGTAACACCAGAGCAAATATTAATTAAATAATTAAG